CTGGCTTGGTGGTAATGAATTCCTTTAGCTTACTCTTTTCTGGGAAGCTCTTTATCTCTCCTTCAATTTTAAATGATAACCTTACTGGATAGAGCTGTCTAGGTTGTAAACCTCTGTTTTTCATCACATTGAAGACCTCTTGCCACTCCCTTCTGGCCTGTAGGGTTTCTGTAGGAAAATTTTCTTAAAATAGTCAGACCGGACTGGTGCTATGCCTGATTGCTGATCATAAATCATTTATCTACCACTGCAGCAATAGTGGAAAAACTATATTTTGCTTTTGTAAGAACAAAATTCCAGAGGGTAGAAAAATACCCAAGGGTCACTGGCCCCATTCAGAGAAGTCCCAGCAGCTTCTGGTGAGAGTGGGTACTGTCACATCCGGCTGTACCCAAACTCTCCTCTTTGATATGTTTGCTGGAATTTGATGGTCATTATGACTAAAGGACTAAAGCTCAAATAATCCAACACTCTATGCATCCTCTAATGATATCACTAGAAGCTTAACGTGAACTATAAGTCACACAAAGCTTCAGTGCCTAAACTCAAATTCCTGCCCCAAAACGGAGGCAGTATTTGTTGAATAGTGAGGGCTGGCAGGCTTCGTCACTTTAGGAGAACCTGGTGCCCTGTCTGGGGGAAGGATGCCTCACTACAAGGCTGCATGTGCTGGAGGTTACCAGCTGTCACAGGGCATTTCCCCAACAACCAGAGTGCTTTCATTTCTCAGCCTCCATTTCCTCACCTTCACATGGAAAGAATAACAACAAGTGGCCAGAAAGTGAAATAATTAGGAAACACCCAGCACAAAGTAGATGGTCCTACACACAGGTTTGCTCTCTGTCCTTCTGCTAAATTAAAAACCATCATAGCACCAACTCAAGGAAATTCCTGGCCATGATGCCAACCTTCAGTGGCATGGTTAGGGACACTTTGCAAACACTCCTTGCTCCCTTCAATGAGTCATAATGACATGTAGCCACACCCGGGTCTATGCGCTCCTACATCAATTTCTGTGACATTTCATGTAGCACTCCTTTCTAAAAAATACATGGCTTCCACCATTTTACTAGAACAGTTACAGAGAACACATCTTTTTATTTTTGAAAGTACTCTTTCAAAATTGAAAGAATGCCTCTTATATCTAATTTCTGGAAGGTTTTGGTCATCTTATCCCCAGATATAGTAATTTTATAAGTGTCAATTAGCTTTCCTTCCTGGGTTCCCTCATTCAACCCAGTAGTTGTTCAACTCTTATCCTTTTTCTCATGTTCCCTGCCCAAGAAGACTGTTTTTAATTTGCCCTCATAGGGGACTTATGCTCCTTGAAATGCAGGTTTCCTATTCAACTGATATCCTAGTGTAGCAGTTAACTGGGGGGCTCTGGAGTCAGGGGATGACTCAAATCCAACCTTTGTAACTTTCCAGATGGATGACTGCATTTACCCCTCAAACATAAAGAATAATATCACCCATACATAGATTTATCTCATGAATAAAAGATAAACCAGTATACCAACTGCCTGGCACAAAGTGAGCTCAGTAAGATATTGTTATTTTACTATTCTCTCTCCTTATTCAAATGTGGTTCTGGGTTTCTCTCTGATTCACAGTTAAACTGTCCTTTGAACAATTTGTTTTATTATAAGTCACCTCAAATCCTTCTTGTAAAAGAATAATAAGTATTTAAATCCATCTGTTTGATCCTGTGAGCTCATGGTTTTGCCTTTCTGTTTCCAGGAGTGGGCAAATCTTTGATTTTCTACAAAAGTAGGACAATTGCTTTGGTGTTGTTTACTATTGCCTTCCTGCAGTGAATTCAAAATGAGCCTTGATTCCTTTCTTGGTGTAGCTGGTGTTAGGTATGATCACAGTTGTTTGAAATGTTGTAATTAAGGATATTGTTCACAGAAGTTTTGCACTAAGAATAACACCAGACAAACTCAGCTCATAGGGTTCTTGTGAAAATTAAAAGGGGTCGCATGAAAAGTTTGGCCACATTAACACTTTCTGGCTATTACATAAGATTTGTATCCCCTTTTCCACATAGATTTCTCACCGACTGAAGGCAGTGCAATCACTCCTCTATGCCAAAAAGGGTATTTTCCCTGTGGGAATCTGACCAAGTGCTTACCACGCGCTTTCCACTGTGATGGCGTGAACGACTGTGGGAATGGCGCTGACGAGGAGAACTGTGGTGAGGCCCCCACCCCCGCTCAGTCCCACATGTGTGCCCCACCTTGTGAACCCCCAAAGCTGTGGGTTGATCAGATAATTGTAATGAACCGGAAGAGATGGTTCGGTATTCTATAGGGAATCCCTTTGTAACACAAATGGTTGCTTCCCAATTTATTTGTGATAATTACCTGAATTTTCAGATATAGAGGTTGCTTAAAACAGAAATGCAGTATTACAAAATGTCATAGTTGATAAAAATTGAAATTATTTTTAAAATTCTACTTGGATACCCATATTTTAATTTTAAATGGCTTCCTATGACTTCCTTGTTATGGCTTGGTAATTTGGTTCCGTTGCAAGATTATCCATGACAAGAAAATGAGCCTGCCCAGAGAATTCATTTACATGACACACCTTAATGGAGTGCCAGGTGCTCTCAAAGTCACCGGGACCCAGAAGGCTCAAGGGAGACAAGAGTCTTGCCCTCATGAATTTCATATGGACCACGTGAACAAGGAGGATGATAAACTTGTAGCTAAATAAATAAATTACATAATTTCAGAGTGATAGTGCCATGTGGCATATAAAACAGGATAATGGGACAGAAAGTGACTTGAGGGCTACTTAGTTTTTAAATTTATTTTGTATGTTTTTTAAGATTTTTATTAAAACATAGCTAACATATGATATTATATCAGTTTCAAGTGTACACCATAGTTATTCAACATTTATATACCTAAAGAAGTGATCACTATGATAAGTCCAGCAACCATCTGACACTGTACGATGCTATCACTATATTATTGACTGTATTCCCTATGCTGTACATTACATCCCAATGACTTATTTGTTTTATACCTGGTAATTTGGACCTCTTATTCCCCTTCACCTTTCCCTTCCTTTATAACTTTTCAATTGCAGTTGATATTCAATATTACTTTACATTAATTTCAGGTGTACAGCATAGTGTTTAGGCATTTATATAATTTAAGAAGTGATCCTCCTGACTAGTCTAATACACACCTGGCATATACATAGTTATTACCATATCATTGACTATACTACCTGTGCTTACATTACAGCCCCATGGCTGTTTTGTAACTACTATTTGTACTTATTAATTCCCTCACCTTTTTCACCCTGCCCCCAACACCCCATCCATCACTTTGATAAATCTAGTCCCCATCTAACACTATACATAGTTATTACCATGTTATTGACTATATTGGGAGGGCTACTTTAAAGGCATAATCAGAGAAAACCTCTCTGAGATGATGACATTTGAATTGAGAATGATATGAAAAGAAGAAAGAAACCATGCAATATTGTGGAGGAACACAGCTGCAGGCAAAGAAAACAGCAAGTGCAAAGGCCCTGAGGCTGAATGAAACAGGACAATGTGCTTGTGGGACAGAAAGGCCAGTATGGCTTTAGCAGAATGACCAAGAATATAGGTGGGTAAAGACACAAGCAGAGACTAGAGCACAACGGGTCTTACAGGCCATTTTAGGTCTGTATAGTGAGACTGTATATATCGTCTAACCTAACCTGTTTATTTTTCTCTCAAAAATACTGATGCCAAGAGGGTGACATGTCTCTTTAGTCATAGGGTAGACATTAGAACCCAGATCTCCTGGATCTGAAAGAATCCTGTGTGTTTTGTCTCACACAGAACAGCCACTACCTTGGCACTGTCCAGCTAGCAAAGTGACACAGCAAATTCCAGGGATGCTGGGCATCTGTCTGTAGAATATGCTCTCCTGCCCCAGGTACTCACGCATGCCTCCCACTGATGGGGCCTCCTGCCCTCACCTCCCATGGATCACTCCTGCTTATGCCTTAGAATGCAGCTAAAGGTGTCCCCCTGTCACCCAAGAAGATTGGCTTCCACCCGGAAGCTCTACCACCAGTCTAGGACAAGCCCTCTCCCTCTGCCGCCATTGCACAGGTGTACCTGTGTGACTGTACTACGGACTGCCTTGCCTGTTCACTGCACTTCTCTCACTAGACATAAGCTCCTTGAGGAGGGTTCTCATCTGTGTCTCTTCTGGTGTCACCAGAGCGCAGAACAGTAGATTACACAGTAGGTGCTCAATACGTGCTCAGTGATGGGGCAGCTCTTAGATGCCAGTGTCACCCACTCAAATTCTTGGTGTTTCCTCTTCATTGTGTGGGAATCAGAGAACACACATGCCTATCTACCTCACAAGTATATTCTGAACACAAATTAAGTAATTCATGTAAAGGCATCGAGTAGAATCACTGTAAGAACCATTGAGGGTATTAGTAAGAAATAGAACTAAATTGAAGTCTGCAAGGATCCAATGGACCTGTGGGCAACTATTTAAATTTTCTATTTGCATTAACTTCAGTATCATACACTACAATGTATAGCTTATCATGTTAATAGCATATACTAAAGTGCAGATACTTCAAACTCAGGACTACTTTTTAAAATATATACATAATTTTACCACAAAAAAAAAAGAGAGAGAGAGAGAAATCTTGGCAAATAAGCAGATATCTTTAAAAAATTGGGAACATTATTTCTCTCGATAGGTCTAGATAGCCTTTATTAAAAGGGTCAGGTCACAAATATCAGAACTCATTACATCCATCAAGTATGTATCTACATATACATATGCAGCAGTATGCATATGACAAAATAAAATTTAGATTATATCTTCTTTTGAGAACCTCAAAATTAAGATCAAACTTTAAAATGTCAGCACAAGAAATAGGTGATAGTTTTCAGGATGTGCATAAAATAATTATCTATTTTCATTATATGTTTTATGATACATACACTTAAATATTTGTAATTGCAAAGAGGAAAACTCTAGATGTCTGCCTACCCTTTTCTCCCTTACTATTGATGTTATCATTCTATTACTTAAACCAATTTTTAACTGATTTCATTATCAAATTACTTTACTTCTGTTTTGTACCTTGATTTATAGCATAACTGACCCCTATTCATCACCATTTCACAGGGGACACTAGTGGATGGGCGACTATATTTGGCACAATCCATGGAAATGCTGAGGAAGTGGCATTCACACAGGAGTGCTGTAAGTGGCGTTGGGTCAAAGCCTGGATCAGCTTGCAGGCACCATGGTGTGCAGGGCATGGATTTATATGGGGAGTGTGACCAAATCCCTTTAGATTTCCATTTCAGTTCAATGCATTTCAGTGGTCAACTGGTCTACTGTCTGCTTGGGGACTGAAATGATAGAGGGAAAAACATGACATGCTTCATTCATGCTCATTTCATGTATTAGCCTATGATTGCAAGAATATATAGGTAGTGAATAACTGTGACAAATAATAAATATCTTATTACCTTTAATTCCTTTCTTCAGTAAAGATACTAAGCATCAATTACTTTCCAGTCTCAAGGCTAGACAGTGAGAGTCCAATGATAAGATGTGGCCCAATCCACTCATACCTCACATTGAAGCAGGAAAGACAGATCCTTACATAAGCAGGAATGATGCCATATTAGTGTTAAACTGGGGGGATGGCGTTTGCAGAAAGGAATGTGGAAACCTATTGGAAGAAATGATGACTCAGCCAAAGATGGGGAAAGACCCACAGGGAAGATGACATTGACATGAACTTGGAAGTCCGTGAATAGAGGGAAGGGTAAGAGGTAACAGGATGATCAGAGAAGAAGCAAGAGCAGCAAACACTGGGGTAGGAAGGTACAGAGCATGCTTCTCAGCACCTTTTACAGTGTGGTGAATGCACGGGGGACACGGCAGGAGCTAGAAGGGTGGGGCCCCCCAGAAAGAGTGTGCACACTTTGGAGTCTGGCCTTTATCCTGTAGATAGAATTATGTCTATGCATATGTATATAGTATGCATATATGTAATAATATAACACATTATATTACATGTAATATACATAATATATGTACACTCAGACATAATTATGTAGGTGTATGTACAATACATACATTAGTATGCATATATATAATGTATAGATATATTAAATGTTACACTAACAGTATACTGTGCGCTTTATAATGCCAGGTTATAATTACCACTTATTATATACTTTATTATATACAAATATATATGTAAAAATTAGAAATTAGAGTAAATTAAGGGATTAAGAATAAATATAACTGCAAGTTCTGATATCTTGCACACACCCCATTGTGAAGATCACTGCCATACATATGGGAGAGTGGTGCTCCCATCAGAATTGTAGAGACTGGGTTAGAACAGTGGTTCTCAACCTGGGACAACTGCCTCTGCCCACCAAGAACATTTGACAATGTCCGAAGACATTTGTGGTTGTCGCCCCTGGAGGGAGGCGGATTATTGTTGGCATCTAATGGGCAGAGGCCAAGGATGCTGCTGAACATCCTACAGCGCACAGGACACCCCACAACAGAGCCCGGTCCTACACAAATGCCAGCCAAGCCGAGACTGAACAGAAAGAATGTGACAGAGATACCGGTTATTCTGTTTCTTTCTTTTTTTTTTTTTCTGTTTCTTGCAATGCCCCAGACCAGTGCTAAGAATCTATTAGTATTAACAGATTATTATCAATAATAGTACCACTGGGACGAGGAAGGTACAGAGAGATGCAAGAGCCATTTCAGAAGAGTCCAGAGAGCTTGGGGGGAGCCTGGCCTGCAGGTGAGGGAGTTCTGCATACACTTCTATTAATAGTTCAGGCAGTAGGTCCAGCTTGGAATGTGTGGAATTCTTTTATTGGTAAACAAGAGTGTCCAACCACAGGTTTTCAATCTAATAATGCAGCCACTAGTCTCGATGTCAATAAACATTGAGGTAAACATTCTGAAGTTGTCTTTAGGAAGTGGAGCTGATTAACATAAACCTATAAACAACGTAGAATATTTTCCAAAACTTTATGCACTAGAATGCCCTTTTGTACTAACAAGGTACTCAACACAAGTTTGCTGAATTTACTAAAAGTCGGTGAAATTGATTTTTAAAACCAAGTTTGGATAAAAGTGATCGAAAAGAAGCAGAGCAAGTAGAAATAACTTATAGTCAGATTTGAATAAATAATGATAAAGTTAGAAATTTGAAAATATCTCTCATTTTCTTAGCTCCATCAAAACAAATATCCATGGGATCAGGGACATCAAATGCTTCATAAATCTCTCCCCCCACCCCCACATGACTGTCCTAGGGGCCCACCTGGCCTGGTTTCACCATATTTTCTCATCTGTTTACATTACATCATCTTAATTATTATGAAAGTTCCTCCCGAGTACATGCTGAATCCTGTTTTCTTCTTCTGAATGCTTTCGATAGATGGATCTTTGATTTTCTCAGCTTTGTAGCCTCTCTATAACTTTTACCTTCCCCTTTAACTTCTCAGTTAATGAAAAAGAAAGAACCAAAATGAGAGCACCTGACTTCGCTGATTTTAATAAGGCGTAATGGTGGCTCCAGCAGAACCGGCATCTAACTCTCCTCACAGCTCTAAGAGAAGTCTGAAAGGGGAAAATAATTGAATTACATCTGAATCAACAAGCATTTATTGAGCAACCTCATTGTGCCATTCGATTAAATTGAATTGACTTAGGTACACCCATTAAAGATTTACTCAAGCAAACTGTTTCTCATTGAGGAGAACTTAATCTTGCTTCGCTTCGCTATTTGCTTTTTCCTATTTGAACATTTCTGTGGTTTCTTTCAAATCACTTGTTAAGTGCCTCTGAAATGACCACTGGAAGCTGGAACTGAGATGAACCCACATTAGTCTGTTTTTGACTAGGAGAGAATTCTTATTTGCTTTATGATGGGCTTGAATTAGTTCATTATTAACATGTAAATGTTATACATACAGAGAAAAGAGAGCAATGTCAGTTATCAGAGATAAAGTCATCATTAAAGTATTTTCTGCCTAGTGACATCTTCCTCTTTTTGGCCTGTAGTTCTAACCCAGTATCCAGGGGGCTGTGACTGCACGGAAACTGAACTGGAGTGTGTAAACGCCGGTTTAAGGTCCGTGCCCCCCGTCTCCAGCAACATGACGTTATTGTGAGTAGAGTTCAAATCTTGATATTGGCCCCTAAAGTCACCGGAAAAGTGTGTAACCTAATCTAACCTGCATTTGTTCTGTTTGATGCTGCTTGTAAATTACAAAATGATAGGAACCCCCTTGAAAAGCATCAGCCATGAGAGAACGCTGCATGCTGCTTAAACACTGTATGTTACATTAGCCAGGCTATCCTCCAGCTCACAAACGTCTGTGGTCTGGAGTTCTTATTTTCAATTACTTTCTGTAACATGCCAGTACTAATCATTAAAAATCAAGCTTAAAAAAGGAAGAACACTCATTCTATCTCCTTATTAATAGTGGTGATTTGTTCAAGACCACCAAGATGTAAGAGATCCATGAGGCTTTAGGCACGTGTTTCTGTATTTTGCATAATATTTTGAGAGCCTCAGGAACCTGTTGTCCTGTCATAATTTGGGCATGCCTGAGTGGGTTGGGATGATTGTTGTTTTGGGGTTTTGTTTGTTGTGTTTCATTCGATTATCCAGAGAGTAAAAGAAAATGGGAATGCACTGTAGATGTTCCAGTCTATTATACTGACTGGCTCAGGAAGTCAAATGTTTGCAGGTTGCTTTAATTTTGCTCGATGGACTTTCCATTTTCACAGTCCTTTCCTCACGTGTGCTGAGTGGCATGGAGGACCATCAGCGACTCTCTCCTCCAGTACGCACATTCTACGGGAGAGTTTGATTGGTCATAAAATCCATAATGAAATCTGCTTTATCTGTTATTGTAGGTCTCTTAAGAAAAATAAAATTCACAGTCTTCCAGATAAAGTTTTCATCAAGTACAGAGAACTTAAAAAGATGTAAGTAGCTATTAAAAGTGTTTTTGTGGGAAAATCCTGGTGATTTTGTGATCTAAAAGTACAGTAAAATATAAAGTTGACTAACTTTATCATTAAAATATTTTTCTAAATGTAATTAAATTAGAGAATAAAGCATTAAGATGTATATTATCTTTCCACTTCATAATTGAAAGCAAATTGATTTTATTTAAACTTTTTTAGAGTTAAATTTGCTTGAAATAAAGCATCTCAGTAAGAAAATACAGAGTACCACACTTTTCCTGAAGATCACTTGGAAAATGACACAGCAACTTCAGAGGCACTAGATGCACCTTTGAACTTAGAAGAAGACTGTTAGCACAAAGACACTGACAGGAAAGATCAGATCACTTGAAACACGATGATAGAATAGGGACTGTCTCCCAGGATGACAGGAGCAATGTGATCTTAGTGAAAGGTGATATTAGCATGCCCAAGTCAGGAAAATGTTAACAAACAGGACATAATCATCCATGAAGACATGGTGTCAGTGAGAAGCAAAGAGCCAAGATGCCCCAACATCGTCCAAGAAAGAAAACCAGGGTCTGGGAGGTAGAATCCCTTGAGACCACCTCTACTGGGGGACGGGGGGACTGTCCATCTCCACCACGACTTGCATGAATCATCATTTGACACCAACCATATCAAAATAGAAACTCTCTTTGCTTTGATTCCTGCTCACCAAGCAACCATGTGATGACAACATTCACTTCCCAAATTATTTATTCATATTGAAGTATTGGGGGAGTTACCTTGCATAGGGAATATGAACACTGCTATTAGTGGAAGGGGATACCTCACATTTAAATAAAGATATTGAGAATATTCAACTTCTTGAGCACTTGGTTACTGTGTGTCAGTCCCCTGAGCCCAGTCACCCTGGGACAATGAAGAGATCAAGTTCTGTACTTGTCAGGAAGGTCTTTAGATGAGATTTGAAAATTACCAAGGTAATACCGTGAGGCCCCTTGGAGGGACCACCATCTTATTGTTTGGTCCTTCAACATTCAGCAGGCAGAGAAAATATCTAGAACTGTGAAATGTTGACATCCAGGAATAAAAACAGTCTGATCCTTTGCTGATAGTGGACAAATGCACTGGGATTGAAATGACATCAACAATTCTGTATTGCTCATGAATTTGGGTACAGACTCCCTCATCCAAGAAAGAAGTCACTGATGGAAGGTAGAGCCTGTGTGACTGTAGGTAACCCTGCTTGGGTTCGATTAAGGCCCCTGTATCCCACCTGCTCTCAGGACCTTCGCTTCATCCTGGAGCACTTGGCATTGCCACCTGGGAGTAGCTATGCATTGGCTCTTGGTCTCCAGGTTCCTCTAGAGAGGAAATTCTACCTCTACTACTTGTGGGCTTACTGGAAATTCTTACAACCACATTTTATTCATCCTATGGATTAGTATTGTCCTTGTGCTGCCTGAATAATGCTCAAGGGAGGAAAAATAAAAGTGCACTAGCATGAAGGAACAAAAAAGATTCATGTTTAGAGTAGCTATTTAAATTCTATTAGCTAGAGCACAGAAGTTTTATGAATTTTGAATGAAATCTTATTATTCATGAGGTAACTAAAGCCTGTGACTGTTAAACGATTTATCTAAGATCTACAGCTAGTTAGTGGACAAGCCAGAATTAGAGCCCATATCTTCAGATGCCCAATGCAGTGTTTATTTTACAATAACCAGAAACCAGAGATTAAAAATAATGTTGTTCTAGCATCTAATTGAATCTCCTACCAACATATCCTGTCTCGCCCCATGGGATACTCCCTCCTATACCTTCTGCCCCCTAATTAAGGGAATATGACTTCTGGGGAGGCAGAGGGATCTCTAGAGGATCAAATAAAGGGAACAGACTTCTCAGGCCACATTCTTTCTGGGACCACTGGTCTATGCCTTTGCTCTGTGTCAGTACTTATCTCTCATGGTATCTGCTAGCCCACTGAAGGACAGGTTATGGAAGCACTAATTTGCATAATTCAGGTCCCAGTTTTTCCTAGTGAAAAAAAGTAGGAATTAACAGTAATTGCCCAGATCACCTGGAAATGTCTCTAAGTAAATGTTTAACTCTACTTTGAGAAAACTTAGGTACAACATCATAACCTGATTATCACCCAGCAGGGGTTTTCCCCATGCAAGCTGCTATTTGGTGCTTTCTAGACAATTTGATTCTCCCAGAGAGTCAGAGAAAAGAGATTATAAGACTCCTATCAATAAACACTCACTAAGTGTCTATTATATGCAAAGGAACAGCACAGGGGATAAAACACAATTCCTTACATATCACTTTTTAAAATTTACAAAGCAGTTCAACATTTGGAACTCGCATTTGGAGTTTTGTCCTCCAAGTCCATTAATTAGGGCAGACATCATTAGACCCCTTTCAGGAATGAGGAGGCCCACCCTGGGAGAAGAGAGGTCATTTGCCCACAGTCAGCCAGCTGACAAGTCTCAGAGCTTGGCCTCAAAGCCCAACCTCTGTCTAGGGTCTTTTGGAAGTTCACATGATCCAGTCTCAGAAAATCGTTACCATCAATGAAGACGTCCAGTAACTAATCTATGACCTGAAAACAACTCAAGTTGTTTACAAATATTACTCAGATACCCTAGAGCAGCTCATAAGCTCAGTAATCCTCCCTTAAGTCTCCTCTCCGCCCATCCCCTTTCCTCACCTCCCTCAGCTCCTCCTGCCACTTTCTGCCAACCCTCCCCCCCCCCCCGAAAAACCTCCCTCAGGCTCAGCCAAGCCCCTCTCGGTTCTCTCCTTCTACTCTTACTTTTTTCTTCCTAACTTTGCATTACAATGGCCCAAATACCCAAATCTTAAAATCCAAACCATTCCCAGGAAGATGTGAGGGGTAAAGAAGAAACTAGATGGACAACCCAGAGCTCTAGGAAGCAGACAACAGGTGGGCAAAAGCTGGCACAATCAACACGTTCACTCATCCTTCAATAAATCTTTATCAACACCATGAGGTGCCAGGCACTGAGGATACAGCAGGAAACAACACGTATGACAAGCCTCTCCTCAAGGAGCTTAACATCCAAATGAGAAAGATAGATGATAAAATTAAAAAATGCATAGTGTGTTAGATAGTGATTACGGCTATGGAGAAAAATTAAGCAGGAATGAATTAAAGGGTGCTGAGGGAAAGGAAGTTCCAACAATATGCTAACAAACTGTGTCCCATCACATATGAGTGACTCCACTACTGCCCAAGGTATCCTGAGGCTCCCCCTCATTCTGAGGTTCACCGCATGAGACTGACCAGAGCAGACCCAATCGGTCTTGTACACAACTCTTCAGATATTTAAAACTGGTGGTCACCCTGCAGCTCCCCATGAGTGTCTTTTCTGAGCAGCTTGAATTCTTAAATTCTTTCCCAAAGGACCTGTTTTCAAGCCTGGTCATTATTCAGGTCACACCACTCTGCCTTATGCATAATACGTATCTAGAATAAACATAATACGATCACTGTGACATGGCCAGGATGGGACAGGAGGAAGCCAGCAACCCTTCCTTTCTAAACTCCATGGGCCCTAAGCTCACATTTGCTCTTATGGCTACTTCATCCCCTTAACTCCTAGTGATCATTCCTCTAAAATTCCTAATTCTGTGCCCTATGTATCACTGCTAGGTGACAGTTTCTCCATCCCACACATGTGCACTGGAGAGCTACCTGTGGGTCCTTAGATGTATCCCTATTCAGTTTTATCCTGATGGGTTCAGCTTTTCCTAGCAGACTGTGAAGATCCTTTTTCGATTATCAAACATAATTCATGATTCCTCCTAGCATTCTTTCATCTGAAAATATGATGAACCATCTTTACCCAAGTCACAGAGTGAAATATTGATGAGGACAGTGATGAATTATCTTCCCAGATCCCATCACCATCATCATTTGATAATGTAAATCTTTATTTTGTCCATAAAAAATACCATAAAACCACTTGATCAATTTCTGGTAGCCACATGTTTTGTCTGATCAGTCTCTCAAAGAAGAAAATGAGGTTGGTCTGACTGCCGATTTCTCACGAGCTGCCTTAGTCTCTTTCTCTTTGAGGTGTTTCTGAAGAAGCATCATGATAGCCTGTTCTATGATCTCACCCAGGACCAATGACAAGCCCATCAAACTGTGGCTTGTGAAATCTACTTCTTCCTTTTTTGAAAAATTAAAACTGCGTGTTCCATCTTTAATTTTCCAGCTGCCCTTCTTATGTCCAGATTCCTCAGTTATTGATCATGACTTGATGTTCTCATTTCCGTGTTTCTCGGGTTCTAGGAAAAATCTTCCAAACCAGAGGGCTTTAACTCATTTAGATTAATGTGCTCTACCATCCTGGGCTTTCATGCCCCTGCCTTATATCCTTTCTATTATCTGCAGTCCTGAGAAGACAGGAACTATGTGGAATTGAGAATTTATATTTTTATGTTGTTTCATAATATTATACAACAGATTACATATAGTAGGTTTGGACTTCCCCTTAACATTTTCTTGTTTCTAAAATACAACTAGAAATACATTTCTATTGCCCACAGTATTTGTCATTGTCTGACTTTCGAACATGACTTAGGTCATTCTTTCAGCATTGCTTTCATTTTTGTGAACCCTTCACATTCATCCTTAAATTTTGAGGAACCCCTTACTGACCACCATATCCTCCTTCTGACTTGGATGGTCCTTCGTGTACCAGGTGCCACCACCAACACCACCCCTCATGGTCGCATGTGTTGAAACATACATGAGGATCAATGAGTACTTGTTGAAGGAATGATGTGTAGGACTAACACACAGGACTAAAGAGAGTGTGGGGAGAACAAACTAACATAAATAGAAACACTCAAAGGATGTGGGGAAGAGAGTGACCAGGGCAGTTTGTTTAAAGGAAAAGGGTGCCCACAGGAAATGATGGAGCATATGCTGGAGAGATCAAGATTGTGGAGCCTTTGAATGCCAGGCTAAAGGATCTGGGTTTTATTCTGTTTGACCAAGGAGAAGGCATGCACAAACATGTGTTTTAGATTGTTCTAATTGAAGTTAGTATGCATTCCTAAGTTGTATTGGGATATATCCTAAGAGATACCAAATTTAACGTAAGTGACTCTCTGGTCTACAATGCTCTAAACATTTATAGTAGACTTGAGGTCATGTAGGCATCCAGAAAAATAAATTCCTAAATAAAATACAATTTTGATTGCCAGATGAATAAATGTTGCTCAACTTAGCTGAATGCTTTTTATATTGATCAGTTTTTTCATTCTAATAATCTTGTAAAATATCAAGCCTTTTTAACTTTGGGGAAAATAATTTAAGATGACCTTTAAGAGAAATAAAATATAATTTATGAGATTGACTATAATTCTTTCTCACTGCTACCATGGAAACTAATAGCAGTTCTCCTCACTGTAACATAAACCTTATATAAATTAGGAATTCCTTCTGAAACTGGGTTCTTATTCAACACAATCATTGGCAATGTAATTCAAGGAGTCTCCTGACTCACGAATACACAATGTCACATTAAAAATAGCCTATACACAGGCATGCCATTAAAGCATATATTTGCTTTAGTTTCAGGTACATAAATTCCTGGCGTTTCTGCTTGAAAAGTCCTGACAGCTGAAACAGCAGGAATTTATGAACCAGTAAGTTATTCATAGAAAAGCCATTTGATGTAAATATATTAAATGGACTCATATCTCAGTTCTGAATAAAAAGAGGACACCACTTGACAAATTGTCATGTTTCTAAATTCCCTCTCATATTTGCAAAGCTACCATCCTGCAAAGAAGAAAGCAGATACCAGAGGACTGAGTTAAAATTCAACAGCCTGAATCTGAGACAAGGGACTTGGGACTCCAGTTCTCCTTGGGGTTCCAGCAAGCTGACTACATAGACTTAAGGAGCTGGAGTCTTAGCTTGTAACAATGAAGGCAGATAGGCTGCACACATCAGATGAGTCATACAGATCGAAAGCACAAGGTCAAATTCACAGCTTATGACTGCACCTGCCTCTTCAAGATTGACATGTGGGCAAAATGTGCATTGTATTATTAATACCTTGAATAAAATACAAATAGCACTAGTTAGGTAGTAAACTTTACATTTAAGAGGAACTTCAATATGCCCATACTATAGTATTATATTCCATTTTCTCTTGCTATTATAATACAACTCATCATATTAACTTTCATTACATCACTCCAAGGGCTCTGAAAATGCTAAAACATTCATAGAAGAACGTCACACCAAAAGCAGAATGCATGCTGCAATGTGAAGGGTCTCCTCAGAGACATGATGTGTGGGGAGAGTGTTGGCATAGCACCAGGTCTTGCTGGGTTTCTAGTCTACTCTGTAGGATTGCAATTGATGCTTTGTGTATCACTATGGATGCAATGCACATGCTCTGTAGTACCAAGCTTTTCCATGTGGGGGTACATAGAGAAAATTACAATATTTGTTCCACATGAGGTAAACTATTGCATTGTTCTGTACACCTGAAACTAACAATAAAAAAATTAAAAAAAAAGATGGCTTTGCCGATAACTGGAAATCGATCTTGACTTTACCTAGCTGTCTGGGAGGCTGAGGATGTCGATATCCTTTCGGCACACCTGTAATGCATTCATGACTCAAAAGATCTGCTAGGTAATAATCGTGGTACAGCCAAATTCAGAGTACAGCCAGATGCCCACCGAGCATGTGTTTCACCAACAGTTTTGCAGAGAAGGATCATAACAATTAAGAGAGGGTTGTACAATATTTTAGGAACCAAATCAAATCCAAATAAGAGGTAGGGAAGCCATATAAAAGACTGTGTAGTCGTTAGATAGTATTGTTAGTGTATTTCCTGTCCATAATGGCCTTTAAAAATATGAATTCAGGGCTAACCTCCCATGGTATAACAAGCACAGGAAATGGGAATTATTTATGTGGACAGTTGATAGTGCTCTTATTGAATCAACGCTGTATTGCTAAGTTGCCTGGTAGGTTAAGTAAATCATGACCATGAGCCTAAGTTGGTCAAGTTGCTCCAGTTCAACCACTGGTGTCATTTGTGACCTTGAGCACCTGGCTAACTTGCTTTGTGCTTCTCATTGTGCATCTCAACATAGAAAAAAGTATGGCTTGAAACCTCGTTTTTTTCAAGGGAATAGAATGAAGAGAAATGAGGAGTTCGAGGTGGAACTCAGAGCTACAAGGGTAACAAATCTCAGCAGGGAGAAACTGGTCTCACACAGTGAGCACTGCTGCAGGTCAGAGCTGGAAGGCCACCATGGTTCCAGGTCACAGAGTCAGGGCCACTTCCCTCCTCACACACGTCACACCAGAGCTCAGTGGTACAAGTCAGAGATGCCCGAATCACTGCACGGGTGCTATAGGACAGCAGGCATTGGCTAGATTCATGGCCATCTCTCCTTGGCAAGGCCTTCACTTCCCAACATGGGAGTGGGACCTGGGACTTCATAAGCCAGGTTCACAAACGATCATTAGGGAAAGAAAGTGGAGCACATGCTCAACAACTAATGAAAGACAGAAACCATAATCATGTGTCTCTTCTTTTTCCTACCAGGTATCTTCAGCATAATTGCATTAGACACATATCCAGGAAAGCATTTTTGGGATTACATAATCTGCAAATATTGTGAGTCACTTCTTTATAATTATATTCTGAGTACAATTTGAAGTAAAGATTAAAAGGGTAGAATGGTATTTTCTCGACTTGGTTGTACAGAAATGGGAAGGTTATGATAAAGTACTTAGACTAGTTATTACACTGCAAGAATTATTAAAAGATTTCTACCTTTCCAGAAAAGATATAAAGGCTCTCTTTAACCTTCTCTTCTCAAGTTTGGGTCATTTCCACAATATTTTAGTGTTTTATTTTCTAACTTATGATAACTTATCTACCTATATACTTTCTTAAATGCTAGCCTACTAAAGATGGGACCAAACAAGGCAAAAGCAAAAGTCACCCTAGTATTTATTCTAATCTTTGCTCTAATGTAACTTAATATCCCGACATGCTATTTTGGGCCACTTTCCTGGTCCTGGCCCTGGTGTTGCCCACGCTAGGCCTGTGGTGTTCCTTGATTTCCCCCTCTGCTCACCCAGGAGAATGCTTTCAGAAACAGAGGCCCATACTTCATGGTCATCATCAGTAGCCCATAGTCTAATGACATGTGACTACAGTGGAGTCTCAAGCTTGCCTAATTCACCTACTCATGGTATTTGTAGATATCTCAACCACAACTGCATTACAGCCCTCAGACCTGGAGTATTCAAAGACCTACACCAGCTAACATGGCTGTAAGTATTCTAGCTTTTCCCGCCCCATAAAGGGCCCCAGTCTTAATGATACACATCAGTGTTCACAGTTTCCATCTATTTATGTATCTTGTTTACTACACTTGTTTTTCTGGTTGTCACATAAAATTTCCCCAAGCAATTCACCTAATGACATACCAAGTAAATAGTAGCTATGAGAAAACAAGCCGGTGCCATGCCCTTCCAGGGGGCTCTCTGTGCCTGGTGCCAGGCTGGCTAAGCCATCATGCAGTGTTCACCTGTGGCCCAGGTTCTCATCTCAGCTCTCTTGGCATTTCATTCCAGATAATTCTTCAGTTGGGAAAGGGGAGCATGTCCTGTGCATTTGAGGATGTTTAGCAGCGTCTGTGGGTTCTACCCCACTAGATGCCAGCAGTCCTGGCCCCCAGAGATGTGAGAACCAAAAATGTCTCCAGGCATTCTCAAATGTCCCCTGGAGAAAAATATGCCCCCTTGGAAAACCACTGATGTAAGAAAGTAAGCAAGTTAAGGACTCTGGATTTCAGGGCATTCTTACAAAAGCCTGAACGCATACATAGTGGCTTCTGGTGTTTTAGTATTTTCCAGGTTGAGCCACCAGTTCTACCCCCATCAGATGTCTGTGTTTTCATCAGGAAAATAAACTAAGGGCAATTAGGGGTTCTTTGAGTCAGTTCGCGCAATTTCTGTAGGTCGGCCTCGACTGATGGGAAGGGCCAAGGCCTCAACTTCACCCAAACCTGTGTGTGCCGTGGCCCCAGCTTACTGCTTCAGGGAGTGTCTTACCTTCCTAGGCCTCTTTTCCTCATCTGCAAACTGCAATTATTCCTTTTTAAGAGTGGTGCAGTGAGGATCGATCTCATGACATACAGTGCCACATGCAGAGCACCTGGCATATAGTAGGTGATCGGTGTCACTCCCTTCTCCTGATCCTAGCTGCAAGGTCCTCTGGGAGTACAGGGATATGGCACCTAGCTTCAAATGCAGTGAGAGAAAAGAAAGCATATTTCCCCTGAGTCTACTTTTTTCTAGGAAATACCATACATATTTAAAAATAGTGATTTGAGTATGTATTTTCACTCTTTCCCCTCCTCAAAGCTCCCAATGAGTTTGTTTGTACAAACATCATTAAAGACATCATTTAAACACTGGGAGACCACCGAACCATTTCCTAGGAATTTTTTTCACTCTTTCTTCATTCAGTCAAGCAGTGGGTCTGTATGGATTCCATGTTCAGCCAATAAGTAAATAAGAGCAGCTTGTGTGGGACCCAAGTGTCCAGAAGTGAAGAGTAAAAGTTGGGTCTGTAAGTCCAGGGGGAGGTGGATGCAGGGAGGGAAACCATCAGGATGGACTTGATAAGTGCTGGGTGAGCTTCTAGGGGAAAGGGCCATCGCACCCACAGGCTGGAGGGAAGGCCCTCGGGGAGGAGAAAGCGAGCAAGTGTGGACGGACAAGGAAGGGAGAGAGCAGGTGCTGGGGGGAGGCAGGTACGTCCCAGGCCTTTTTTTTTTTTCTGGTTTTATTTCACAAATGTCTCTAACATTGGCAATGTTGATGGTCTGTTTTGTCAGAATTCTAGACGACAATCCAATAACCAGAATTTCACAACAGTTATTTACTGGATTAAATTCCTTGTTTTTCCTGTAAGTATTCCCCTACCTTTCAATACATCGGTCTCTGCATTGCAATCACACCTACCACCAGCTTTCAAAAGAGCTTTCGAAAACTCAAGCCCACTACGATTTTTACTAGTGAAAACCTCTCTTGTATTTCTAGGCACAATCACTGTTGCTACTTCCTAGCTAGGGCTCAGGGGATAGCCTAAGCCTACCAGTTGATTTCTTTTGGATCTCATTTCATTTCCTTCAGTCCTACGGCATATTTTTATTTGCAGTGGTTGATTTTCATCTCCCCTTAAGTTACATTTAAATCTGGTAGGCTCCCCCAGGAGTTCAGCCTCAAGCTATATTTTTTAACAGAGGAAAATGTGCATTTGTCCAGCAAGAGTCACTGGAAATTCCAAAATTTTTGTCCCACCAACAAAGCCATTTTCACAATCATTGTTACTGTTTATTAATAGACTGGAATGATTTATCAGCAGGAAACTCTTATGTTCCTTTGCAATTGATCGCATAGCATCACTATTCTTCTATTTGTCAAAAGGGACCACAATATCACAATTTAATTGTGCAGCTTAACGTGCTCAGGAGTTGTTTTCTTTCCCAGATGCCCCCATGTCACTTAGATTTAATGCCATTTCCAGTGTGGCCACTTAACATTGTAAACTATTAATGCTTCCCTTAAAATTGTTTGGATGTATGATGCTGGAAATGATTGCAAATTTGGAGTTTACAAGAAAAATTATCATAAACTTCAGAATTATCACCTAATATTTTTTTGTTTCATCTCATAAAATTAAATTACATAATGCTTATTCTTAGGTTATATGTCATACTGATACCATCACAGTTTATTTGACATATGCTCCTTATCTGTGCCACACACCTATCTAGACACTGTTTTGAAGAGGAAGTTATGTTTCTATTCTTCATCCTAATATAGCGATTTCAGCATGCAAGTTTCCACACTGCAGAAACAGTAAAAGTACTGCTCTGGAAGTGGCATATCACTTTGTTTCTAATTAATATCTTCTTTGTTTGAAGGTCTATGGTTAATAACTACTTAGAAGCCCTTCCTAAGCAGCTGTGTACCCAAATGCCTCAACTCAACTGGATGTGAGTGTGCCTGGAGGAGCTAAGCTGTTATTTGTAAGACTTAGGGAAACCAGCCCTTAGGTTAATTCACGGTTACATAAAAAGCCCACCTATGTACGGTCTTCTTTCGGAAACTAAAGTCAGGTCACCTTACTTACCACTTTAAAAATCTTTTGAGAATTTCCACGGGTGTGATGGTGAAGCTCAAACTTCCCCTGTGAGCACCGGAGACTATCGCTTTCTATCCCTCGCCCTACCTGGTCCCTTGCCTTGCCCCTCCCCGCACGTGCCTCCCTTCCGGATGCACCAAACTGCTGCAGTCGGTTCCCTAGCACATGTTGTCAGCTTGAAAAGCCTGCTCCTTTATTCTTCCGGTTAACTCCACATAACGTCACCTCCAGGAAGCCAACCCTGACACACCAACCCCAACGTGCTCCCTGCACACCACGGCCAGACTTCCCCAAAGCCGCCCATTCCTACCCTGCGCGCACCTCACTGTACTACCATCACAGAACCTCGGGTTTACCTGGGTGTTACCTGCCCTCCTAGGAATTCCGGGAGGGCAGAAACTTACTCATGGTCTCATACTCCAGCACTGGCACAGTGATCAGCAGCAAGCTTTGTTAAATGAACGTGCTGAACCATTTCCATCCTTGGTTAGCTTCTAACCAGTGCTTGTTTAAACATTCATTTAAATTTTTTCATGGCTCCACCACCAGTACCCACCGTTCCCTGTCATGTTCATCTTCGTGGTGTCCTGAGACGGGGTAGATGGTCCCAGGCAGCGATTTCCTGCCCCGCAAAAGGCCCCCAGAGCTCTGCTCAAGTCAAATCAGGGGGCTCAACCCCCATAAGATGACACAATCAGCACCTCAGCTATCGGTCCGCTCTGAAGTAGCTTCAGAACTACTTGTGACAATATTAGGTGGCCTTGTGGATACTTACTGACTTTTATGTTTTTGTACTTATTTATATATAATACCTGTTATCCAAAGGCTTTTAAGGCATAGAGGGCTCACTGCGGCACAGTAGGAAGAGGAGTCGCTATCCCTCACCCCTGTGGAGAAGCAAATCTGACTCTGGTGTTCAGGATTTGGACGATAACTTTGACCCGAGTTTTTCCTTCAGCAAAATAAAGACAAACATACCCACCTAAAGTTGGTGGAATATGAGCTCTAACCATCTATTATGCCTGTAAGTGTCTAGGCTTTACAGTCAGACAGATCCGGGTCAGAAGGTCAATTCTACCATCTGTTAGCCATGTGACAAGAAGAAAAGTGGATTTCAAGAGCCTCAGATTCCTCACATGTGAAATGTGTGTGTGTGTGTGTGTGTGTGTGTGTGTGTGACAACACCAATCAGCAGGAGGGCTGTGTGACACATTCAGAACAGTACTTAAAGCATAAAAGCCCAATAAAGAGTAGTTACTGCCATTATGGTGGCAGTATTATGATAATGAATAGCATGGTACCCAGCATAGGGAGAAAGAGACACTCCAAGTGTTGGGCTGCCATTTCCCCCAATTTTATTAAGTTCTAACATCAATCAAAAGGGGCAAAGAAGAATAATATGAATTATACTAACCCTGCATTAATTGGAAGGAAAGCATAAACACTGGAATGAAGTAGAAATGAAACTCAGAACTGTTGTATCAACAAAAGGTGCCTCTAGATATATGAGTTGTGCCAAAACATTGAAAGTATTTTTCCTGCATGCCTTTTAGGGACTTGGAAGGCAACAGGATAAAGCATCTTACAAATTCCACTTTTTTGTCATGCGATGCACTCAGCGTGTTGTAAGTATACAATAGACACCCAACAGATTTGGAAATCAAAGGAACACATTGACAAGGAATTTTCAAGCACTGTGTTACTTACAGCCTGGGTCTGAAACTGCAGTACTAGAAAATGCACACATGGGGTCTTTGATTTTGACAGTGGGGACAAGCCTTACCTTTAGCTGCCACCATTCAGGTCTCCAGCTGCTCTCCCTGTTTGTGTGACAGTCACTATTTCTGTGCATCCTCACAGCTGAACCAGTACCTAAACACATGATCAAGGAAATGGGATAATGTATGTGAAAGTGGTTAGCTACACAGTGATTAATTGTTACTGCCAATGACACAAATTGATGTACCTACCTCTCTAAAAAAAATATTTTTTTTAATCTAAAGGGAAAAACATATATTGTGTTCTGATTGGCCAAAGATTCTGATTGGCGGTTCTGATTGATGGCTATGTGTTTTATAGGGGTGGGAAGGCAGATGGATCCGTTAACCGGTACATTTGCCCTGGTACACTTAAAAATATGTATTTTGCTTTTGTTTTAATCATCGTTTTCCATATAGAGTAAGCACAATGTTGGTTGGTTGGGTGGGTGGGTGGCTGGAAAAGAAAAATCAGAATCTATCCATTGGTAGCAGTGTAATCACTTTCTCCAATAAACTAAAACCTAAGACTATTGCCAGGTTGCATATTTATCAGTCAGACTGCAGATAAGCATGCTTGATGAGAAAAGAGGCTATCCCTCTTGGGAGATGCAAAGAGTTTATTCCTTTTCTCATGGATAATGAGAGAGAACACTGCAAAACTAAAGCAGTTACATCAATGCCTTCAATTTTGTGGTTCCACGTCACTTTTGAATCACTTTCACACCCATTAACTCATTCAGCAGCTCTGTAAGGCAGTTGGCTATCGACCCCCTCTTTCTGCCATTTCTCCTGGAGGATTTAATTTCTAGACAGAAGGAATGTAGAACCACTATGACCCACCATATTTAAAATCTGTTAGTGGCCCTAGATACTGCTATAGGTTGGCTCAAGCTTTGCTTTCTTGTCTCCTAAGGAACATGCCTTACACCAGGGTCCTGTCAAAACCTTCTTGAGATTTATTAACAGGGTCCAAATCTGACATTACTTGTGTGTCTCTGGGAAAGAAACGCTTTCTCAAATGATGAGAATCTAAAGACCTCATTCAGCACCTCAAATTACTTAGGACAGCATTTCCTGGAAGAACATGTGGATATCCTCAAACTCCTGCCTGATTTCCACACTAGAACCCGCCTCACTCTGAGGCTTAGTAAATTCCACCGGCATCAAGGGCCTCCCCCAGTGAGAGCTGGTTATTACAGCAGACACACGCCAACAGTGCTGACTCTTGTCATGTCTTACAGGTTTCTGCCGAAAAATCAAATTGATTTTGTTCCAGAGAAGACATTTTCTTCATTAAAAAATTTAGGAGAACTGTAAGTAGCATTGTCTAGTAGGAAAATATGATTTCTTCTTTCAAGATGATAAATTTAAATGACTTGTGAGTCCACGATTACACTAGTAGCAATCAAAATCCTGTAGACTACTGGATATTCAAAATCCATTAAGGAGACCGACAGTATCTAAAGTCAAAAGCAATTTAAAATCAGACAGGGAGCTTAATATGGATTTAGCCTACTCTAATTTCCCTGCCTATTTTCTTTGGATGATTTCATGTGTATGTGTATTTGGGAATAAATGAGTTTTCATATCTCCTTCAATACAGAGATCATTCTCTCTAATGGCTAAAGTATACTTAATTCTCAATAAATGCTTGCTGAATGAATAACTGACTGACTGAAATAATAATAATTAATTATAACTGAACAAAGGAATGGAGATGCTTGTTATCCCTTGAGAAATTATGACTTCTAGGGCAGATACTGAAGTTTAGAATGAGGTTCAGGCTCACTGAAAAATATTCAGAGAGCTCATGCAACTTTTTCTGTTCAAATATATGTCTTGTAGAGCTAAGCCTTTTAAAAAATGTCTGTCTTGCTATTAATTCATTGCTACCCACATAACTGTGTATTATTGAAAATTAAAATTATGTTATATTGCAAATGGCGGTGATTAGAGTCCTGATCTGGAAGCCGAAAAATGGAAATTAATTTCTGAATTAACCTCTCCCCCATTCTTTTTTTTTTTTTTTTTTTTTTTTGCTGAGCCATCCTGCTACCTATTGGCAGCTCAGCGGCTGCTCAGCTCGGGCTGGACTTGAACCACTGTTGCTCAGAGCTCAAACTCTTGAGCGAGCTCTTAACCAACTGAGCCACTCAGCCAGCCCTCTCCCCCATTCTTTATACCTTCTTTTGCAATCCACAAAAGACTGGGGGAAACAACTCAATAAGAGTAATTTGAAAAATAATTCATGATTAAGATATTTCAATATAATAAAGGAAAATCATAAACCAAATCCACAAACATTTACTAAGGGCCTAGTGTGTACAAGGCACTGCATTAGATCTAAACATATTACCATTTTATGGTGAAAAAATTAAGGGCAGCTCCCTCAGAAGAGCCCCCTCATTTCTCATAGGGCCTTCCTTTTCAGACTTCAGGGGATGGCTATGGGTTTAGGTTTCTGGAAGGAGAGGAGGAGCAGCTCTGGTCAAACAGGGGTGGGTTTTATATACAAATCTAGGAAACAGTGGTGTGGAGTCCACATCCTGAAAAATTTCCTAATCCTCCTCATAGCCTACACTTGGGCAGAGCCACACCAAATAAAAGACCCCAATTAAGAGACATGAGCTTGCTTTTCTAAAGTCACAATAATCCATTCCAATCCACATAGCATCAGTAAGATAAAAGGAATTCAGAAGTTAATAGAATTAACTTCAACAGGGCATCGATATTTCTTGAGTTTACAAAAAGGTTAGATAATTTTACTGTGCCTTCCTGACAACACAAGCCTCATGGAGGGGAATAAGCATGCATACATGAGGCCGCTGAAGTCCTTTCCCCCTTTATTTTTCAAAGAAACACTTTGCAGGACGTTTTCTAGGTGTACAAGGTCATTGTCATCTTGCTCAGTTGTCACACTCTCTGACCCGTACACCCCTGTGGCTTTCCTTCCGCACCACGACCCATGTGTGTTCCTCCAGTCTATAGCACCAGGTCAGAATTCCCCGCTGGCAAGACCTCTACACTCGGAGGTCATGATGGCCCCTCAGGAGCAATCTGTTAAAACTATGCTTACAGATGACCCTTACCCCACTGCCAGCTTCTTCCCCTAGACTTGCCACCTCAGTGGTATCAGCACCTTTCTGGCAGCCAAGCTCAAGGACTGCTCCCTTTCCCTCTAACTCTCTTGATAGACTTCATATCCTGTCAGACCATGAACCCTGCCAATGCCTCCTTCCTTCAGCTCTCTTCAGCTCATCCATGGCCAAAACCTCCTGCCAAGTCCCCTTCTCTGACACTGGCTTCTCAGATTATCTTTCATGCTTCGGACGGAATTATCATCCCATAACTCAGAGCACATTAGGCCACTGTCCTACTTAATATTCTCCCTCCTTGTCGCATGCCATTTAGCAAAGTCCTTGACACAGTTCTCAAATGCTAATGTTCAGAAGAATAATAGCTTTGGCTTTAAATGCATGTTACCAGGTTCCTTCCCACCCCAGAACTCTGATGTGACAGTTCTGGAGCAGAAGCCAGGAATGCTCTTCTGATAAGCTTCCTCCTTGTTTCTGATGCCTGGACTCTACTCTGGGAAATACTGCCTCGGCAAGTATTCGTGGCCCTCCCATTTTGTCTCCTCGTGCTTTCACAGGCCTCTCCAACTCCCCTTACTTTCTATCTTCCACACGCCCTGGACCACTGGCCGACTCCTAAAGAGGTCATTGACTTCCGAGCATCTGTTTCTCTGATCCTGCTTAACCCTCAGCTGAAAAGCTGCTCTCCTTTTGTTCCACCTATGAAAATCATCAAGCTTTGTTTAGACACTTCTTAATTTCCGAGACCAATTTCAAGGACTCCTTCTTCTGTTCCTTTTAAAAACAAATTTTTTTATTTTCCAATTACAGTTGACATTCAGTATTACTTTACTTTACATTAATTTCAGGTATACAGCATAGCGATTAGACATTTATGTAATTTAAGAAGTGATCCTCCTGATAAGTCTAGTACCTGCTGGCTCCATACATAGTTATTACCATATTATTGACTATATTCCTTATGCTGTACTTTACATCTCCATAACTATTTTGTAACTATAAATTTATACTTCTTAATCCCTTCACATTTTTCACCTGTCACCCCTCACCCCCCTCCCAACTGGCAACCGTCAACATGTTCTCTGTATGTATGAATTTGGTTCTGTTTTTTTGTTTGTTTATTTTGTTTTTTAGGTTCCACATATAAGTGAGATCATGTGGTATTTGTCTTTCTCTGTGTGACTTATTTCACTCAGTATAATACCCTCCAGATCCATTTATATTGTTGCAAATGTTAAAATTTCATTCTTTTTTATGGCTGAGTAATATTCCATTGTATATATGTACCACCTCTTCTTTATCTAATCATCTATTGATGGGCACTTGGGTCTTGTTTTCTTATCCATTCAGCCACCCTATGTCTTTTTTTTTTTTTAACTGAGCCATCCTACCTGTTGGCAGCTCAGCGGCTGCTCAGCTCAGGCTGGACTCGAACCGCTGTTGCTCAGAGCTCAAACTCTTGAACAAGCTCTTAACCAACTGAGCCACTTGGCCGGCCCCACCCTATGTCTTCTGATTGGAGCATTTAATCCATTTACACTTAAAGTAATTATTGATAGGGATGTAGTTATTGCCATTTTATTATTCATATTTTTGCTCCTCCTCCTCCTCCTCCTCCTTCTCCTCCTCTTCACCTTAAAGAAGTCCCTCTAAGATTCCTTGTAATACTGGTTTGGTGGTGAGGAACTCCTTTAGCTTTTTCTTGCCTGGGAAGCTCGTTATCTGTCCTTCGATTCTAAATGATAGCTTTGCTGGGTAGAGTAATCTTAGTTGTAGATGCTCACTTTTCATCACTTTGAATATTTCATGCCAATTCCTTCTGGCCTCTGTTTCTTATGTACTTCTGTAATATCACTTGTTTAATTTTTTCCTTGTTTTATAATTGAGCTGCTTGTTGTATTTGTAAGCTTCTTTAGAGAACAAACTCTTCTTTGTTATTTGTAACCCCCACACATCCATCAGCAGCTCCAAGGCATCAAAAATAGATAATATCTTTTGTTCAACTTTTAGGTACAATTTCACATCTGTTTTACTTTTAACATCTCTGACTCAGAAGGATACTTTGGACTCTTAAAAATTCCTGATTTCTTTTGATACTAACACATCTCTTTTCCTCATTTTGTGGAAACACTTCCTTACGATTCTTTCTGGATCAAATAGCCCTATTATATTTAGTTCTAAATTCTCAATTTCTTCTAAAAAACAGTGCCATATAAAAATAGATTGAAATGTGTGAATTTACCCATTCAAGAAATCTAGGCAGATACTGTGTATACAACAATACTATCTTAGTTGGAATGCAAAATAAGTAGAAGACAGAAGTCTTGACCTCAGAAAGCTTATAAAATAGTTGGATAAACAAGATATCACATATATGAACCAAGCAGGATCAAAGAAACAATGAATGGTAGAAGTGTACAAAGATGCCTAGGACAGGAGAAATTAATAAAAGTAGATATTGAAGCCAGGTTGGGAATGTGATGGAGAGGGGCTATGAGGAAATTCCAACCAGGAACTGGATAAGCAAAACGTCACATGTCTCAAAGTGACAGAAAACATATCCATTGGCCAACTCAGTCAGCCTGGTTGTGTAACAAGTTATCAGGTAGGTTAAATAGGATCATATTTTCCATTACATCAAATGGGATGATAATTGTGAGGAGCAATGAACATGTCACTTATTTCCAATGTAATTGCTCTTGGTTTAACTGTCACCAACAGGGACCTGTCTAGCAACATGATAATGGAGCTACCAGCCTACATTTTTAAAGATCTGAAGTTTCTACAAAAATTGTAAGTTCTTCTTACCACTGTCATCAGATATAAATGGCAACACCTTAAGCTTCTAAAATAATAACATCCTGATGCTTTTTTTCCTCCTTCCTTATAATGGTACAAAAGGAATCTGTCGTCCAACCCTCTTTTGTATCTCCATGAGAACCAGTTCGAAAGTCTTAAACAACTCCAGTCTCTGTAAGTGAAATATGACAGTATGTTGATTATTATTTTAGTGGATGTACTTCACTTAGAAACACATCTATTTTTAAATGGGTATTTTACACACAGGATGACTTTTAATTTGAGCACACATCCTCAGACACCTGTGAATGTCATTGCTACCATCAAGTATGTACTGAGTGACAACGAAGCCTCAGTTTGTAACATTTAATATGTGCAAGACCATTTCTGTGTTGGAAGCTACACAGAGCTTCCTGAAAACCAGATTCATATGGAAAACTCTCATCCTACACTTTCCACAAAGAATTAAATTTGCAATTGTTTTCTTACCAAACTGTTAGTGAAGAACAAATTATGTACGAGGTGTGATTAAAAAAATACAGCAAATGTTTAAATTTAAAACATTTATTACAATAAAAGACACATTGCCATTAATCCCCCTCAAAATACCTCCCCCTCACTTTGAACACACTTATTCCATCGCTCTTGCCACTTTCTGAAGCAGTTCTGTAAGTCCTCTTTCATGAGTGTCTGTAGTTGTGCTGTCGTGCCTCCCTCGATGTCCTGAATTGATTCAAAACATTTTCTTTTCATGGTCATTTTGACTTCGGGGAAGAGCCAGAAGTCACCCGGTGCCAAATCCAGGGAATAAGGTGATAAGGACACACCGTAAAGTTTTTACTTGACAGAAATTGCCACATCAGAAACAATGAGTGACACGGAGTGTTGTCATGATGGAGAATGAAGTAAAGACACTCACGAAAGAGGACCTCCAGAACTGCTTCAGAAAGTGGCAAGAATGATGGGATAAGTGTGTTTGAAGCAAAGGGGACTATTTTGAGGGATAATAGTGGTAATGTTTCTTTTACTGTAATAAATTTTTTATTTAAATATTAACCATATATTTTGATCACCTGTTGTAAGACTTACCTGCCTTTCCCCTTTCCTACAGCAATCAACTTGCTATCAGTCTACAGAGCATGCTTTTTAATTTTCAATCAGTACAGAAAAAACTTATCCCACACAGATGAACATTCAATTAATTCTGTTTAGCATTTTAAAATTCAAACATACTAGGTTGCAAATGGTGTCAAGAACTGCCAGTTATCCGTTTGAAATTCATTTCTTTCCCATGAATCGTCACTGTTAAACTGTATTTGTTTTTACACAGACAGCCTACAACATTCCCCAATCTCAGCCTAAAGCCTGTCTTCATTTAGTTCCAAAGACCAAGTCTTAATATCACTTTTTATTCTTGCTAAGTAGTTTTCTATTGAAAGTGAATGCAACATTTAGGTCCTCTCTCAACAGGAGTTAGCAAGCATCCACTGATGAACATGACTTGGTTCCTGCTCTCAAGGAGCTAGAATATAAAAAGCAAAAAATATAAATATACATTGTTTTTAAATATACAAACAGACCTCAGGAGGTGGACAAAATAATTATCTTTTTAAATTGTCCTTTCTCCAACTATGGTTCCTGAGAACATGGCAGGCTCCCTTAAATTCATGCCATCCTAAAGAGGTCTTCAAAGAACCCATATTTGAAGAAGCTTCTGGATGAATGAGTAGAAGGGTTATCTTTGGAGCCCTCTGAGGACATCTTATGGGACTGAGCAAATTAAAGAAATTATGCTTTAATTATGAATTAAGGAATTGTCTTAGAAAACAATTATCCTGAATTGGATCCCCTCCTACTGCCTCCATGGTTTTCCCCCTAAAGACATAGGGGGAAAAATATGATTGCATTTAAATCTAGATTCTCACAAACTCACTTCAGTGATGTTTTCAGGTTGGACATAGCAGCTCCTGTTTGAAAGCATCTAACTCACATTCCATGGTTTCTAAAATAGGACTATTGAGCCAATTTCATAATCACACAAATCACCACTGCCATTTTTAAACCAAAGACATGAATGAAAGTGTTGTAGTAGAACATAATTCTGCGTGTGAAGTGACAAAATCAGCTCCTACATAAGGAGGCATCAATAGAAATGGCCATTGTCTAGGACAGCTTACTGTAAAATTCTCACCCTCCTTTGACTTGGCAACATAGGTTTTGAAGTATGGTATCTAGGATGTGACAAAGAATACAATTAGTAAAAAGTGGAACCCTAAACACCTGAAACCTGTTGTGCCTATTTTCCAGAGACCTGGGAAGGATAGAGATTCCAAATATAAACACACGCATGTTTGAACCCATGAGGAATCTTTCTCACATGTATGTATGTACAAAAGAATGGCAAAGACCGTGTGGCAAAATGTTGCAGATGTTCTAATGCTGTCTGTCTAATGTGTCACTATGATGTGTTTTTGTGCAAGAAAAGTGTTTTTATTGAGAACATTTTAATTTTGTCACCTTTGTTCCCTGTTCAAATAGAGTTCAGTATTATGACATGCCAATATGAATGATACTTCTCTCTGGAAGTACACTGTTTATCCAATTGAGGCCCAATAAGATATCAGAGTACCATAATGCCACACATTACACCAGATGAAGTCACTAGCTAAATGGTACTCAGGAGACCTGGGAACGTTAATTCACCTCACATGAATGAGCAGTCGGCTGCTCTAATCTTTGAGCCCTTAGGAAGAAAGGTGCTATGTAAATTCCAGGTGTTGTTACTGTAACTAAAGGCATTTCTCTATGGAGGTAATTAATCTTTATAGTAGGTTTGTTTTAAGATTTTTATTAGGGAATTGGGGGAAGGGGAACAGACAAGTTGCTGTCCTTTTGTTCTTCAGTCTAGTTGTGGAGGACGTTGCTTCACTGGCCCAAGTTGGCACCATCATTGCGCTCTTCCCGGGCGAGGCAGATCAGTCACCAGCTTCTGGACGGCCGCTCACGGTGGCTGCTGGCCACTCACACTGGCTGCTGGCTACATACGGTAGCCCATGGCAACCCACTGCCACAGGGGCTGCAGCCTACGCTGTTGCCGGCGACTCATGGCAGCCCAGCTCCAGGTTGAGCTGTTGTTCAGCATCTTAGCTGTAGAGGGCAGTGTCACTGGCCCTCATATGTGGGATCCGAACCAGGGCCCTCTGGCGTCCCAAGCCAGCTCTTAACCAACATGCCACTTGGCAGCCCTATAGCAGTTTTTGATAAGTCACTTTAATATATCTGGCTAAAGTGCACTGTGTAAGTTGTGTTAATACATATGTTTACGAGATGATCATTTCTTTATCAACTGTGTAACCTATGTGTTCATGATTTCCAAAATTAACCATTGTTATCCACAATAATAGGGAAGGGTCAATGTAAGATTACAAGTGTGTACCACAAGTGGCTGGAGAGGTCGGTGTGCAGGTGCTCTCTTGGGAAAACACCTGTGTCTATGTAGCAGGTGTGATCACTAGACAGGTGTTTGATGCATAGCCATGAGGCTTTCCCAATTTCTCTTTTTGTGGCAGCAGTCGATGAATATTTAAGGAGGCTATCATTTCCTTGTTACATGCAGAATGTGAGGTCTTCTTAGAATAGTGAAATTCAAGCTTCTTAGAACTTGAGAGAGAAGTTGTCACTTTAAATGTGAACCTTAGGCTGAGGTCGAGAAGGACCCAACAATTAACAGAAAATGTGTTAACTTAGTCACGGCCCTACCAAGTGCCCTGGCTCTGCTTTCATCTTCCTTGTCCACCACTTACTGAAATGCCTCCACCCCTTAACCCCATCCCTTCTACCTGCCAAGTAGTGCCATGGTCACAATGAGGAGAGAGCCAGGCTGGCTCTATCTGAAGACAGTGGACATAATGGAATCCTGAAAGACCAAGAGGTCAACTGTGTGTCAGGGACTCCAGGGAAGGAGAAGAAAACAAGAGTTCCTTTAAATGGGTGGATGGGATGAGGAAGCCAGAATGTAACCCACTTGGGGCAGGGACTGATTCTAGTTTCTCTAGCTGACATCCCAGCACTCAATTACTCACCATTCACTCTTCATCCAAGAAGTGTCTGTTGAGTACTCCCACGTGCCAGCTGTGGCTCTGGATCTGAGAACACAGGGGTGAGCAGGAGAGAGAAGTCTCTACCCCATGGAGCTTTGGGAACTGGGAAGTAAACAAGTACATGAACAGATAGCTACTAAATGCTGTGAAGACAAGTATGGAAAGATAAACAGATAGAAGGAGGATGTCAGTGATCCACCTAGAAGCCAGAGAGCTATGACATTCTAGCGGACCTGAATGGAGGGAGGGAGCAGTCCTGGCCCAGAACAGGAATTTCCAGACAGAGGGAGAAGCAAAAGCACTGCATAGAAAATGGGGTGCACCTGGCTTGTCTGAGAATTAGAAGAAGGATGGGGTATCTGGATGGAGTGAGGTGGGAAGGGAAGGAGGTAAGGGGCATTTGGGTAGCCAGGGTCCCATCACAGGAGGCTGTGAAGCCATGGCAGAGTCAAACTTGCAGGTCTACCAACTGAATAGCGGGGGAGGGGGAGAGGATTAGAAGAGAAATGAATTAAATAGGTGGTAAAAAACACAAAAATAGAATGAGTTTTAAGGGAGAAAATCTTAAACACACAGATTTGGGAATGGCAATAAGCTAGTCAACCTCCCTAATTCAAACCCTTGAGGACTCTACACACCTGGGTTGTAAATACGTTGATGACAAAACCTGTTTCCTCTAGAAATGAAGTCCTTCCAGGCCCTAGGAGGAAATCTGTGTTTCAGGCCATTGCTTTTCGTCCTAGCACCATGAGACTGAGTTTTTCCAGTATCAGAGACCCTTCCTCCCTGCTGCCAGTGTCAGGGGAAAGGAGACTCGTTTAATTGACCATACTTAGAGCTAAGGGCAAGACAGGAATGTTTCTAGGGAGCTGCCGGAGGTCCTTTGCATCCCAAATCCGAGCCACTCACTGAATGTTTCCTGGACACCCACTGGACAATGACAATCTCCTTTTTATAAAGCCCTAGAGAATAATCCAATGTGAAGGGGACTTCACATTCTTTTGACCTCCCCTGATGCACCTCAGACAAGCCCCAGGATTTCTGTGTCCTTTAGGATCATCTTTAAATGAAGCACCCTGCCTAGAGTAATACAATATTTCATGAAGAGCTCTGTAATTATGTAATCTCTGCTGAATGAAATCCAATAGGCTAGTGCAGTTTTATAGCTAAGAGATGCAGCCCTGATGGGATTGCAACTGTGGCTTCTGTGTCATTGCTGTAAAGTGACTCTGTGTTTCCCTTTGACTTTAGTTATTTCAAAAATTTTCGCTACTGCTCCTATGCTCCGCACATTCGAATCTGTATGCCCTTGACTGATGGCATTTCTTCATTTGAGGACCTCTTGGCTAACGATATCCTCAGGACATGTGTCTGGGTTATAGCTTTCATAACCTGCTTTGGAAATCTTTTTGTCATTGGCATGAGATCTTTCATTAAAGCTGAAAACACGACTCATGCTATGTCCATCAAAATCCTTTGTTGTAAGTATGTTTCCTGTCTACATAGATCTAGGATATCTCTCCCAGGGACTGCTCTAGATGTATACTGGCATTTGCTAGAACTATATATGCCAGGGAATTTTTTTTTTAAGGAGGGTGCAGTTCACAGTGGCCCATGTGGTGGTCGAACTGGCAACCTTGGTGTTATTAGCATCACGCTCTAACCAACTGAGCTAGCCAGCTGCCCCTGGGCATTTTTTTTAAAGTATGCCGGTGCTGCTCTTTTGGGCTGCTCTGTTCTAGATTGTATGAGTTTTCAGGGATCTAGTGCTCACCCCTGGGAATTGTGTCTTGGAAATGGGGTAACAGGGAGCCGAAGAGTCGAGGGAAAGATTCTGGAGGACAGGTTGTGGGTTATAAAACTCAGCTTTGCTTAACTCTCAATTATTATGACACCCATGCTACTCAAGCCCAGAAAATTATTCTTATTAACTATGTAATACTTATTTACTATTTAAAAACTAGCACCCCCCCTCCCCCCAAATTACCGTGCCACCATTTTTAAAAATTATAAAACTGAGACGCAGCGTGGTACTTAAAATTGGTATGCCTTTATGAAGTCCATTGGCTTGTAGACACTGCCGGGGTGTTTACATCAGCGCGTTTCATAGAGGATGAAGGAAGTAGGCGGAATCAGAAAATGCAAACAGAGACACCGGGAGCTTTCTACATGCCCTGTATGCATTCCTCCACAGGTGCGGACTGCCTCATGGGCGTGTATTTGTTCTTCGTTGGCTTTTTCGATATCCAATACCGCGGGCAGTACCAGAAGTATGCGCTGCTGTGGATGGAGAGCGTGCAGTGCCGCCTCATGGGGCTGCTGGCTGTGCTGTCCACCGAAGTCTCCGTCCTGCTGCTGACGTACTTGACGTTGGAGAAGTTTCTGGTCATCGTCTTTCCCTTCAGTAACATTCGTCCCGGGAAACGGCAGACGTCTATCATCCTCATTGGCATCTGGATTGTGGGATTTTTAATAGCTGTGATTCCACTTTGGAACGAAGATTATTTTGGAAACTTTTATGGAAAGAATGGCGTATGTTACCCACTTTATGATGACCAAACAGAAGATATTGGAAGCAAAGGGTATTCTCTTGGCATTTTCCTAGGTAAATTATATTTTCATTTCCGGGACAAATGGAATTTTGATAGAAATACCGTAAATTTCAGCAAAGGCATATGTGTTCATTTCAGAAAGTAAACAAATATAGTCAAGACAGTGCCCCTTTTAAAGAAAAGTTCTTGCTGTGTATTTATAGAATTTTTTATTAAGCTTTTTTTATTATAGAGATTGAGTATGAAAAAACATACTGTCAGGATCTCTAGATGGCTTTTTTATTATCTATCAGACTGATTTCCCCAGTCAGACGTAGTAACTGTGAGCTGCAGGACCTTGAGGTCCAGCCTGTCCTTTCACCCTATTGATTTCAACTCATTTTTTTTTTACAATCTAGATATGAGTTAAATAAGTAATAATAATAAAATTCTGGAAACTCACTCACAGGAGATGATCTGAGTTGAAACACCAAAAAGGTTTATTGCCTTTGGTAAATGCAGCTCGAAAGTCAGCGACAAAAGGATGCTTCATCAAACTCTTTTCTTTTCAGTTTCCTTAATCCTCCCTAATTTTTTTTTTGAAAGGAAGACCATACCTTCCCTGTTATAAATGAATGAGTTTGGCCCTTTAATGCTGAAAACTTTTTTATTGTCGAATAGATATCTGTCTTGCTTAAAATTAAGGCCAGTCCCATGTCCTCTTTTTAGGACAGTATTATCATTTCAGTTTTCCCTTCTCATCTTTTCCCCTCATCTAAGTGGTCAATAAGCTATATCATCCTTTCTTTTCCACAAACATTTTTTATCAAAGTATGCCTCTGCTTTCTGTTTGCTCCAGTCTCTCTACCCATCGCTGCCACCTTTGTTTAAAGCCTTACTACCTGAACCCTGAATTATTACATTAGCACTCATTGGTCTTTTGTCTTCTGGGCCTTTCTCTCCTATTTATGTGGCCACAAACACATAAAATAACCTCCCTGAGGACTGAAAGAACTGTGCCTCTGCCCAGAGAACTTCAATGATGCCTTGCCACTACCAAGGTCAATTTTAAATTAGTCATTTAAAGCCCATCACAAAATGGTCCTAACCACTGTTCCCAGCTCTTTTCCATCTAGTCCTTCTTTTCTTTTTCTGAAAAATAAAATGCATTATTTGCACTACTTTAATAATGCTCCTCATATACTGTACTGCTTTATAACTGTTTTTTCATGGGTATGTCACTCCCAGAATGCTGTAAGCTGTTCCTAGCATAGGCACACTTCACACACACACACACACACACACACACACACACACACACACACACATTGTGTTAAGTTACAAGTTACATTACCTTATGTCACATTCATTGATTTGACATGGATTTATTAAGCACTTACTATAGGCCAAGCACATTATGGGTCCTGGAAATACAACAGATCGGTCCTCACAGACCTGCAGACAGAAAGGAGGGTGAAGACAAGTAAAGACAAGTACAGGCTGACAAATCACAAAGGAAGAGGACAGCATGTTCTCGGCGCCCCAGATCTGGGGGCCAAAGGAGGCTCCCAGTGAGAATGAATCCAAACTGAGGCCCAAAGGATGAGGAAGCATCAGCCAAGTGAAGGCAGGGGTTGTGCTGCGGGATAAGACGGATGACTTCATACCCCCATACCAGGGAACAGGGAATCAGCCCATGAAGGGCATAAGAGGTCCCGGGTGGCTGTTCTTACATTAAGGTGTGCAGCTGGGCTAAAAGGGCTTTAGCACCAGGGATATATTCCAGACAGAGGAAGAGTTAGTAACACACACCCCCCCTATATATGCATTTCTTACCTAGGAGAAAAGGAGCCCTAGCGGTCTTTTCTCTGTTTGAAGAATACAATACACAATTTTAAAATTAATTTTAAATTTTGGAATAGAATTAGATTTAGAGAAAAGCATCAAAGAAGCATCATCCTGTGCCCACCACCATTTTCCCCTGTTCTTAGCACCTCACACTGAGACTGTGCTTGGAACACATGCTTCCCAACCTTTCTGCAAGTCTGTTCTCAGGGTCTACACCAGAGGGTCACCGTTTACTGTCCCTTCATTTCATTCTTAACTTTCCAACAAGAAGCCTAAGATAAACCGATTTTATAAAATTCTCTTGTATGGTTTTAAAATGAGATTCCAAAAATATAAAATGTTTTTGAAAAAAACAACAGAACACCTTGAATTTATAGTATTTTCCCCTAGACATCACCAGTTTTACATACAGTTTAATTCAGATAAACTTTGCTTATAACAACTTTGATATAATATGCAAATTGTATGTTTACCATAGGAATAAGATGGTCACTCTGAGGATTTTTATTATAGCAAGACAATAACAAAGTGACTACGAAGTCAGCACTATAGGACAATGACGTTAAGTGATTATCTTCTGAACATATTTAACCCTGAAAAAGTAACTCATATAGTTGAATTTTTAGCTTTTTTCCTATTTCTTTTTTCTAGTTTAAATATTTCTTTTTAGTTTAAATTACTGTAAGCAATTTGAAGAAAATTAAACAAAGATAAAAGAGCGGGGTCATAATTATTAATATTTTTTGAGATGTGCACATGATTACAACAACCCCTTAAGGCTTTGAATTTTAAAGAGCTAAAACAAAAATAGCTCTTTTTCCTGCTTTAAAAAAGCTAAAATTCACCTCCTGGTACCTAGATCTGAATTTCAGAAGTCTAGAATTCTTCGTAAACAGTTTATGCACTTGAAATCCCTTTCTGACCTGGCAAACCCGATTCCTTTAGCTGATTCCCAGCATATAGCCTTGAACCCAGGGTTTTAGCTGACTACCACTGAGCTGATACAAGCATATTCCTTGGAAGAACAGGGTAAGAGGCACCACATCGAACACGTAATAACAGAGTATTTTTACACGTGAGTGTTAAGACGTGTGCTTTTCCCAACAGGAGTGAACTTGCTGGCTTTTCTCATCATTGTGTTTGCCTATCTTATTATGTTCTGCTCCATTCAAAAAACGGCCTTGCAGTCTTCGGAAGTGACGCATCACATTGGAAGAGAGGTGGCTGTTGCCAACCGTTTCTTTTTTATAGTGTTCTCTGATGCCATCTGCTGGATTCCTGTATTTGTAATTAAAATTCTTTCCCTCTTCCGAGTGGAAATACCAGGTCAGTCCCTCCTCTTCTCCCCAAGTACACTGTGCCCTCTTATGCCCTTTGTTAGACAAGGTCAGAACACAGGGCCTTACAATCTCCCTAAATCCCTACAAGTTCAATACAAACAGTTATTATTTCCCTTGGAGTCTTATATAATCAGCATTCTGAGACAGAAACTGGGCAGTGGTGCAATCTAGTCAAGAACAGTGAAAAACAGGAGCTACAGGAAAACTAACCCAAGTGAGACTGGTTCTCAACAAAGTGTACACATAAAAAATAAAATATCATGAACAGGTTCTTCCCCAGGCTCTGGATTTCATTGACAGGGGCTTGGGTCTCTAATGGGTGTTTTTGAAAAGGCTCCCGGGACTCTGAGGCCCACGCCCCGGGCTGGGAACCACCCATTCCAGGGTCCTGGCTGAATGGGCGTGACCCTGGGCTCTGTGGAGCATTAGTGTCCCATGGAAGTGCCTCAACCAAAGGCCCGGTTCCCTGCTCACACCCCTGCTTCCACCAGAGGAAACCACCTCTCATTAGTTAGCAGTATACTTGAAGCCCATTCTGGGCCCCAGAAATCATAGCCATCTAGGGCCCACCCAGGGCTTTAGGCTGCCTCTCAGTGAAACAGAGTTTGGGGACAGATTCAACTCACTGTGTCTGCCTTTTGCAAATCTACTTGGGGAGTTCATTCAGAGAAGGAATAGTGTCTTATTCACCTGGGTACCCCAGTGTCAAGCACAGAGCTGACATGTCAGAAGCCCTTATGAAAAAGTAAGGCATATACAAGTACCAACTTATTTCTCTCTGGCTTGTACACAAAGTCCTGGGAGGCCTTATCAAATGCTCGACTGCTAAAAGGACACGTGACATCCACAGCAACCCTCCACCCATCAGCTTAGTCCCACAACAGGGCACAGATGCAGACGTGGAGGCCAGGAGGGAGATCAGGGCTGACCATATGGGAGCCTTTGCTGGGTAGCGACAGCAGAAGCCACAAGCTATATCCCATCACTCCGGGAGGGCCAGTTGTACAGGAAGAGCAGAGTTAATTGAATATTACTGGTCACAGATGGGGACCTTCATGACCAGCCTCCAGTGTACCACACTTCCAATTGCTACGGCCTCACGTTTCAAATTCAACTGGCCTGAAATGTCCTTTGGCCTCCATTGCTCATGGACTACAGTCCCAATGCTGAGATTAGCATTAAGACATTCCTTACTCCCCACCCCATCCTCATATACTCTGTGATCTAGGCCCATGAGAATGATTGGGCATTTTTTTATGTCTCACTTTTACTGAAGCTATTCCCTTAACCTGGATTATACTTCAACCTGTAAGACTCTAGCCTACTAAACACCCATTCTCATCCTTCACGGTGCAACCCAAACACTCCCTCTTCCACGGTGCCACTCCAGACCTCTTTCCAACGTACTCCCATCCAACTCCGTGGCTTAAGTACTCATTCCATTTGGTTTGCACTTCATGTATTAGCCTCGAATTAACTGCCTCATATCAGCATTATTTTTTAATGTATCCATTACTCTCTACAAATCATAAACTTCAGGAGAGTAGGGACAATGTCTTATCTTTCCACAGTATTTTTTTTAACACAGCATCATTAAATAAATGTTTTTTCAATGAAGGATGCTCAGCAGGTCTGAGACTGGTGGAACAGGTGGGGTTTGTCTCATCAACCTCCCCAGCTCCTTTTTCTATACCTTTTGACATCCTTCCCCACCCCAGGCACCTGGGCTGGGAGTTCTTTGACATTATGATGATGTGGGAGGAGGCAGTGAAGTAGTATGATAAGGTTGCAATTTAGTGCTGAAAAGGGATATTGTCCACAGATCTGACTCTGGCCCAGCCCCACCTCATCATCAGCCTCTTCCACAGATAAGGCAGTGGAGGTCTGGGAGCCAAGGTGATTTACCCATGGTCACATAGCTAAGACAGGTCTGACCCTAGGAGCAGGCTGCGCTTAAGGGGCAAAATACATTTCATCCCCACCAAGCCAATCATGTACCTGGAAAGGAGTTACCATCCCAATTTCTCCTGACAAAGAACTTTCGGGTATCTTTCCCTTAACATTCTATTAGCATTTGTAAGGCTTCACACAAAATAAATTCATTACATTTGGAGATGTATTGTTTTTTGATCTTCTAATCATTAGACTCCACACTGAATAGCACAGCTGGAATATGAGGGCAATAAGACCTCCAAGCTTGAAGTTAAGTCCCATCTGACCCTGAACTAGAAGTTTACTGAATACTGTTCTATCAATTAAGAATTATTTCCTCATTTTCTTATATTTCTATAAAGGAAGTCAATTAAAATAAGATAAATACATTACATATCAATTTATAGTTTATGAAGTGTTCTCACATATTTCCTCTCATTTGGCCTCACAAGAACCTATGAAGTAGTTACTGGAATTCAGAAAAGGTAAATGGTAGATCCTTGAATTTATGGCTCCACGGTCTCAGACAAAGAGATTTTCAATATGGTGAGAGAAAACATAAGTGAATGAGGTAGCCCTCTCAAAAACAGCATCGACCACAAAATGTTATGTGTATTTGGTGTCTATTTAAAAATTTAACTTCCACTTTTCATACTTTGTTTCCTTTTCCAGGCACAATCACTTCCTGGGTCGTCATTTTTTTCCTGCCAGTAAACAGCGCCTTGAACCCAATCCTCTACACGCTCACAACCAGCTTCTTCAAGGACAAGTTGAAACAGCTGCTGCACAGGCATCGGAGAAAATCGGTTTTCCAAATGAAAAAAAAAAATTTATCTATATCTATTTTGTGGACAGATGACTCCTCTTCCCTGAAACTTGGGGTTTTGAACAAAATAACCCTTGGAGACAGCATAATGAAACCGATTTCCTAGTAATGATTGGTGTTTGCTGGGCTTTCCATGGACTACTGTTAAAAAGTGCAGCACTTGGACGATGACATCTGCAATGCGTTTTATCTTGACCAGCCAACCTCCCTGCATGGAGAGCATAGCAGAATGACCTCTGGCACTGCACTCCAATGGCAGCCGGAATAGTTATCAACTGTGCTGGCGACAGCACCTCAGCTTTCCTCTCACCCCTCCATTCCTGAAATGCACAAGTGACTGCACACAGAGAAGGCTGATATGCAGCTGGTCTCCCGCCATCAGCACCACCAGGCGACCGGTGAAGGCCACGTGCTGGCACTGCATGGCTGCTTTTAAATTGAGTTGCACTGTCCATAAAACAGAAACCTTCTTGACGTCTAATTCCAGTGTGGGCAAAGTAACATGAGCCTACCGTCTTTTCTTGTCTTTTCAATAAAATCATCAGCTTCCCAATCAACTGATAGCACAGGATTTCTGAGATGTACACTCACCTCAAGGCCTGCCCTGTGGAGGCTGGTGGAGGTACACCTTTGACAGGAGAACTTCATACAAGGTTCTGTGGAACATGTGAACAGAGAGGCACACTGACAAAGCCTAGTACCATTCAACTTCTTGGTTTTTATTTAATGTCAGAAGCACTGAGATCTCAAACAGTGTATTTTTTTCTTCAGGCTGCCCAGGCTACAAAGGAAAGTTGGGCACCCCAACCGCCAAAAACCCATTTTAATGTTGTTTAAGTATCATTTCTTTAGAGCAGTATCTCTATTGCTGGCAATTTCTGCCTTCATAGAACACAGAGATAGGAGGTATTAAAGGGGATTTAAGAATAGTGGTTTGATGGGACCATTTGCTCACTCAGTAAATTCCCATTGTTTTCAACAAAAAAGCCAGTAAGGTTGGATCTATTTTTTGGGAATAAAAAGTACTTGTGAAGGCCTGAACATGTTTTTATACTGAAATTTTATATGTGAAGAAAAAAGAATCAGGTACATAAAATTCTGTTTCATATTTGTCCACATACTATTTTAAGTTTAACAAAGACCACAGAGAGTGTTTACTGACAGTTACCCATGTTTTTCCTGACAGAATACAGTTAGGAACCACACCTCAGTAACAAGATGGGTTGCATTTCCCTTTCTCTCCCTCCTTTTTCCAAAGTAAGAGGCAGTAAATTCATTTCTTCACTATTCAGCTTGTGTTCCTTTAATGAGATAAAATGTAAGCAGCTGACTGAGAACACCCAAACCACCTACTATTTCACATTAAATGGGATTCCGTTTCCCTCCAGCAGCAGCCAGGAAAGAACCCCAGAGTTTATGTGTCATAGCCGTCCAGGGAATTTACCTGTCACTACTTAACATTGACTAACACCGTCATGTGATTCCTTTATTTAGATCAAGTGGGGTATCTCGTGCATCCGTGAAATGTCCCCATTAGGATTCTGCAATAACGTTCCTCTGCATTGACACGGCTGCCCTTTCCCTGTGGTTTCAAACTTCACTCCGAATCGCCTCTTCACCATGATTAGTTGCTTCCCGCGGTGTTTTCTCTATTCGCGGACATTTTCTCAAATGTCCTCTGCTAGTCCTTGATCATGGTAGCATTTATATACTAATACCTCTGTGGACATCAGAAGCTCACACAAGGAACAGACTGTAACACAGGGTATCTCAATCTCAGTACAATGTGTGTCCCAGGTTTGTGAAGGGCATTGAGCACGGCCTGTGAACCTCTGGATGCAGTGTCCGCACTGTCACTGTATAGCCGAGGACGTGAGGAGAAGCGCAAGGTCAGACATGTCAGGAAGCGAGCAGCATGGGTCCCAGAAAAACAGAAGCTATGTATCAGCCAACAGCACTCAACAAACAGTCTAAGGTTGAGTTCTAATAGCTTAGTCGTTTCCAGTCGTATTCTGGACTGCTATATACACAGAAAACCATCAGAAATATGTTGCTAAAATAAAATATTATTTTAGCAAATAATAGCCTTTTTCTGGATTGAGTGAGGCCTTCTGTGTTAGGTCAGACTTGTTTTCTAAATCCTGGATTCCTGTGTGCTGATGAAAATACCACCTCTGTGAACTATTTTCCATGACAATAGAAAAGCAATTAAACATCACTCCAGAATTTAAATGCCAAAAACGGTGCCATCTCTGAGCAGGAGGGGGTGAGGGCAAATTGCCTCATCCTCATCCCCACCATGCTGTGTGCATGACTGAGGTCTTGTTTGAAAAGAAAGAGAAAAGATATTCTAAAGTCAATATGGAGCTCAGACAAAGGTATAAGAAGAAGGTATGTGCTTTATCTGGGTTGCACACAGCTAAGCTTATTTACATCACTTTGTTTCATACTTAAGGTTTATTTCTAATTCAAATTAAAATAGTTTCTGCCCATTGCAGTTGCTGAAATGGCTTCTTGATGGCTAGGGGCTTTAAATGAAGTGACACACACCTGAGCTTTTGTACACGGGTAGCAGTCTCACCTTCCCCCAGCCTGCACCCCAACTCTGCAGCTTCATCCACTTGGTGTCTATAGCATCAGGGAGGCCCAAAAGGAGACCCATAGCCCCGTGTTTGTCTCTTACAGATGACACTGGTGCCAGATCAAGTCAGTGTTGGTAATTTGCTGCACATGTACTCAGGATGCATCTTCAAGAATTTCTCTCACCAAAGAGACTCTTCAGTCTTTTTTTCCATCCTAAAGTTTGTAAGCAATACACAGATCCAAGAATGCACAGGACAGAAGTGAGAAATGATAGAGTCACCAATAATATCCACCCTATCATTTTATAAATGCTGCAACAGGGTCTGAAGGTAGCATATCTTCTAAAATTAATAAGGAAGGCAGATTTCTTTTTAGTTTTTGCAGTGTAGCATAAATGACATATGATTGTATTTAATAAATAGCCATAGGCAACTTTACTCAAGAAAACAAAGTACTGAAGATAAGCACTTGTGTTTTCTTAGTCCTTAGTGATTACAAAGATCTTCCTTTATACTATCTATTTATAGATTAATCTGTATATATATCTCAGTTGACTGATATTCTGTTTGTGAAAGATGGAAGATGCATATTTAATAATGATAATGTTTATAGCTGAACCAGGAAAAGGAAATGAAATTAGTCTCCTTTTAAATGGCTTTTCAGTAGATTTCAAAATCCTTGAGAAATACTTCCCAAACCCCTAGAAGCTGATTGAAACCTATTACTCAGTGAACTTCATTCGAATAGTCTCCAGATATTTCTCCACATGACAATATGGGAGAAGTAATTTACAAATGAAGAAATAGAAAACAACAAGGCCAGGTGACAAAATTGCAGATCCAGGAATGGGCATCTTCTGTTGTCTGAACAGCTTGGCTCCAGCCCATGGTGACACCTCTGACCTCTGTAACCTGAGCAAACTCATAACTATTTTGAGTATAAACTCTTAACTGTTTGGATGCAGGAAGAAATTATTTCAGGACTGTCTAGGAACCAATAAAACTTTCACTTGTTTACCGATAGCGATCTCTGGGTTCATGGCTTTGTAATGGCTTTGTAATGGCAGCTATATACTTTCCTGCTACAGACAACACACACTAAGGGCAAAGAAATATAGGGTCAAAAAGTCAGGCTGCAGATGTCACAGTTCCAGTTCAGCCGTCAGCTACTTACAAGACCTCAGACAAATTACCATTAAATCTCTTCCCTTCTCTGTCAGCGTGCCTCCTTAGGCTCATATCACATAAACTGCATCTTGTCCCACTTCTGGGAAGATCTATAATGTGGATTAAAACACTTGCTGAAGGTCCATGTGGATTCAAAACCCAAACATTATATAATATTCAAGGTTCATCCAATTATGAATTTCCCTTTTTTCATTTTTATCCTCTTTTATGTTACTGTTCAAACATTAAAAAAAAAATGTGCCTCAAAGTTTTGTCCTGAATAGGAGCTAACTCTAAACCACACAGCACTGGGTTTGATTTAGGTTCACAATCAAGTCTCCCCTGCCAAGCCCTGCCCTTTGACCCACAACCACAGATCACAGCCATCCTGCGAGCCCTGCTTTGCTCATGGTCAGCCAATAAGAAGAGAGTGCTACAGAAGGGATGACTCTAAGTAATAAGATTTTTAAGAAAGTAAATCACTTAAAAAGTATACAGCTAAACTTCTGCTGCCTTCCATTCACTCATTCATTTATTCAATCAACAAACAGGCCTGTGCAGCTAGCTACCTGGAGCCAGACACAGTGAGGTCAGACAAGGTCATCTCCAAGGGCAGGTAATTGACACTCCAATGAAATGGCCTTGGGAAGACAATTAGGGGGTTTCTTTAGAGTTGCTTTCAGAGATTAAGTCCCACATGTGTACCTATCTTCTCACTTTTATTCACAAAACACTCTTAGTATCTTTTTCTCTTTACTTTGCTTCCTTCCTCCTTCAAAATTTTGCTGACATTTCTTGTCCTTTTTTTGTCCTGTTACCACACACACACACACACACACACACACACAAACACACACACACACCTCTATTTACCTCTCTCTAAATCTGCTTCTTGGCCTCCTTATTTCTGTCCTATTTCTCTCTCTCTTTCTCTCTCTCTCTCTCTCTCTCTCTCTCTCTCTCTCTCTCTCTCTCTCTCTCTCTCTTTCATTGTGTTCTTCCTTACTTTTCCTTTCTATTCTTTGTTTCTACCTCAGAGGCACACAATTAGATTTATCAAAATTTTTGGTTCATCACATGTTTTCATCACTGGTTCATGGATTGTCTACTTTTAGTTATCGCTTTATTTGTTTTTAATAATGCATTAAGCACCAATCTACTCACCTATCAATACCAAAATCTAACACTGAGAAAACCCTCATCTAAATATATGGTCCCTTAAAGCATCATCCCAATTGTTGTAAAATAATCACAAGACCAAAATCCATGTTCATAATTTCCTTACTTTTCTTTTTATACAGCTTTATTGCATTATGTATAGCCTGCATTTTCAAATTTTATTGTAACTATATTAAAAACATGTACTCTTCTGTATATAATCTTTTGGGACTTATTTTTTTCACATGTTATTTCAAAGTTTTGTCTATATTGTGTGTGCT